ACGTGCAGACAGTAAACATAATTTTCTTTTGCAGCACTGTATCAATGTAACTTGGATATTTCGCAATTATGTAGTTGTTTTATCATTTGCAATCGAAAATGTGTTTCTTAATACTTGTTTGGTAGGATAAAGTGTACATTGATGTTAAAATAGAAATTAAATCTTGTTTATTATGTCGTCTACTTGTTTTACTTTGTTTAAATATTATGTGCCAACCTTTTTCTTTGCCTCGTTATTAGCCTCTGTTTGGTCCCCATTTTTTCAAGTTAAAATGGGGGAATATTATTTTATTTGGAAAATGAGTGGTCGAAAATGAAGAATTTTTTTTTAATTTACGTGTAATATTATTTTATGGAAGATTATGTGATTGAAAATATGAAAGAGAAAAATGAAATTTAATTTAATGGGAGCCAAATGAAAGCTTAGCCTTAACTTACCTATCAGACAATTAGCCCCTGCTCTGTGTAGCAAAAAAAAAACGAAAAAAAAGGGATTCATAATAGATTCCGATAAAACTATTTAAGCCTTTGTTTGATTTCCTTTAAAATTTTAATACATTTTTTTCTCTTCTCTTTTCAACCATATATTCTTTAATAAAATAATATTATACGTAAATAAAAAATTTTTCATCCTTTTTTAACCACACATTCTATCAAAAATTACTATTTCAAAATATATTTTACCCAAATTTCTCATTATAATGGTTGTCAAATAGGGGCTAAATATTTATTAAAATTTTGATAAAAATTATGAGTCCTAAGTATATGATAAAATTAATTATTAATTTTGATTTAAATTTTGATCAACTTTTTAAAAGGCTTAAATCAACAAGCTAAAGGCAAAAATAAAAGAAAATTTCCAGCTGTAACAACTGGATTAAAGCCCAAACTAAATGCCCAGAGCCCACACTAAAAGTGTTGAGTGCTTTGTCCAAACACCAAAAGCCAGTCCCTCACCCATCTACGTACTACTTACCTTTACAGCCGGCTCATGTCCCTTCTCCAAAACCTGAATGACACGTGGACCAATAATTTTCTAGTAACAGATCGCATCTCGACTAGCTCTCTCGTCCACGAATTTTGATCCCACTTGCCTTTGTTTGGATCTCTTCACCACGTGGCGCTCTATCCATGATTCCCTATATTTATTCAATTAATCAATTAAAATATTCGTCAAAGTTTTATCCTCATCCTCCTTTTTCTCTCTAATAATAACCTACGATTCCGAGATTTGTGATTCAAATTAAGGGTTTCTGCTGGTGGCTTTGTGGAGTTAAATCATCATTTCCGAGAATTCTTACAACTTTTGAGGCGTTTTTATAACTTTTGGTGAGTTTTCAGGCTAGATCTTGTTTTGAAGTATTAACTGCTATATTTATTGCGTATTATTGTTGCTGTCGACTGAATTGATTTTGTTGTTTGGATTTTTCAATTCGTTTCACGAATCAAGCTTTGATTAGTTCCAAGGTAACTGAACCTTGGAGATTAATTTAGTTTTTTTACAACTTTGTTACTGTGCTAATTGAGTCAAAACTTTATACTTTCACTAATTTTCTGATGGAAACGATCTAAGTTCTTTGTATAGTTGCTATTTATTTCTGAGGCACTATTATTCCTTCATCAATTTGATTATATTTTGTTTTTCTTGGCTTTCTGATAAGTTTGAGATTGGAGATTGATGTATAATATAATGATGCAATCGAGAAGATGATTTTGAGATGGTATTAACACACTTTTCTGTTCGGTGAATTTGGTGAAGGAAGGATTTGGAGTTTAAATATAAAGAAACCAGAGTTTGATTGCAATCTGAAGACTTGAAGAAATGTCAGACTTATGCACCTACGAGGTAGGTTTATTTTTTGATTGGCTAGTGTTTTGAAAACCAAATTCCGCACATGCTTGAGAATTAGATCACAACAGAATAGTCTAGTAGTAATGTATGTGTAAAACCGTTTAGTGCAATATGTGGTTGACTCAGCCACGACAGGGTCCTATTATGCAACTCTGTGGGTCAACTATGAATGGGTCATGTATAAGCTAAGAGATATCAGGGATGAAAAGAAGTTTTCATACTATTATTATAAATAAATCCTCAGCGATAGTTGCCTCTCTTAGCCCCTGTTTGGTGGTCTTTTTTAGTTTTATATTTATTTTTCCCTGAAAACATTGTTATGAATTGTGAATTTTTGGTTAAAAAATAAAGAAAAATATTAGTTTTATGTATAGAATAATTTATTGTGTCAATGTTTGGTTGAAAATGAGTATATAGAAAAAAGAGTTTTGCAGGAATGGAAGACAAACAGAGACTTATGTGCTTGATACATATTTGAAGTTTCTATGCACCCAACCCTAAGAGGTAGGTTAGTGATCAGATTTTGAGTTTGCTCTTCAATGGTTACTCGTTCGAGTCTCATAGGGCTATTGAGGTGAATACCAGGTTGTAAACTTCAGGGTCCCTTAGAATTAGTCGAGGTGTGCGTAAGCTAATCCGGACACTCACGGTTAAAAAAAAAAAAAAAAAAGAAGTTTCTATGCACCTGCACCTTAGTCTAAAAGGTGCAGGTTAAAGATGGTAATCTGGTGGTGAATATAATTTCATCTAGTCCTTGAATAAACATGGAAGAAACAAAGAGATTTACCCTTTTAGAAACAGCAAGTAATAAAAACTTTTGTCATTAAATTGCTGTTGCAAAATTATGGCATCCCGTCCATTCTTTTTATTGAATGGTTCATGCAAGTAGTTGTAGAACTTGGAATTCTTATCAGTTCTATCATGTGTTGAGTCTATACTTGTTATAGCGGAAAAGTTCCCATGAAATATGAATTTCCACATTGTAACTTTGCCCACTTGTAGAAAAATTAGAAATAGCAATATCGGAAAAATTGAGCAGGGTATTTTACTTATTAAATGTTGTACATATTATTAAGTTTTTGTTTGATAATATTTAGCCCATGCTTGGGCTTCATTTTTATTTTACTGCATTTTTCTATTTTTTCTTTTTAACCACACATTTTTCAGTGAAATAGTATTACACGTAAATCCAAAAATTTTCCTTTTTGCTTAGCCACACTCCCTAAAAAAATGACTATTCCAAAATACATTTTTCCCTAAAACCTCATTAATATGGAGCCCAAACAAGGGCTTAGTACTATAGGGGTTAATAAAATGGAGACATTAAGATAAGTCATAAAACTTGAGATTTTATAATCTCTACACCCTATTCATTTCCAAAAGAGAAGAAAGTAATCCCTCACACTTTAAACAAGAACCTCTCTACTTAAAAAGGAAAAATAAACTAGAACATAATTCACTTGAGAAGACGTATCAGGAATGCATATATATTCTAAAATTAATGAAACTGTAATTAACTAATTTTTATCAGCTACTTCAAAAATTCTCTTCAATAGGTCTGCGAAATGGCACATTGAATTATTGGATTATAGAAAAAGTTACTTTTGGAGTTCTTACTGCATGCTTTCTTTTCTGCGAGTCCTGTCCTACTATCTAGCTTCTACCCTGTATCCACTTTAAGTTGTAATATGTTGGATCTTTTTCCATTATAATTTTACGAATTCTTGTTAATTAGTCTTATAAGTCATTGGTCTTTGGTCTATCTATTCAAAAGAGGTTATCAATTTCTACCACAGGAAAAAAGGACAAAATAGAGTGTACTAGAGGCGCTAAATATCACGTCATTAAATGGATGGACTAAATACATTACATATCCCGTTAATGTGGAGATCACAGAAATTACACATAAATGGATAGTATGTACTAGAGGCATTATTAAGTTACGTGTCACTAAATGGATGGACTAAATACATTACATACCCAGTTAATGCGAGGATCACAGAAACCACACATAATTCCTTGTGATACAAATGCTTGAATGTTATACCTGGAAACCGGCTGAGAAGAAAGAAGGTATTATGTGCTTGTTTGGTAGGGATTTTGTTAATTGATTTTTTGACCGTTAGAGATAAAGTGGGTCCTACTTGTAAGAGAAGAATTCAAAAATGACAGCTGAAATAGTGAAATAACGGTAAAAAAATTGATTTTAATTGGATTTTAAGCTGTACCAAACATGCTTTATGTCCCCAGCTTAATATCCTCTAGTTGAGGTTTATATTTACACGTTGCTGAGATTACTTATTGACGGTAACTTTTACTATTCTGCCAAATTATGTCTCTCAGTTAGTTTGGTAATGTTCATTAAGGCCCTTAGGACTGAATTATGGTTAAAGTTTTTTACACAACTGCCTCGTAGTTCCGTTATTCATGAGTTCATTATTCTCTAATCTGTTGTAAATTTTTACTCTCATTCTATAAAATTATTCTGCAGTTTTTACACCTAAAAATTCTGTAACTGTTGTTAACAGATCGAAGGTACAGTTTGGGATGAATTTTGCCAGATTGATGACCACATAGTGCCCCAGACGGGTGACAAACGGGCCAACAGAAATTACTTTCAGGGTGATGGTTGCAAGAAACCTCGCTGTGGAGTAACTTGTATTTCAAGTAATTTTATAGATGGATATAGTGATAGCTATGTTGATCAGGAAAGAGAACAAGGAGAGTATAATAGAAAGAGCTTAGTGTTGGAAAAAGACTCATTGTCCCACAGAAAAAATAGTTTGTTTCTTACTTCATCTGATAGCCACTCAATCAGAAATGTTCCTGGGTTAATATCTGATAATACGAAAACATCAGGCCACGACTTCAAAAATAATAATACAGACTCCATTGGTAGTGAGTTTTATGCAAATGATCCAATTCAAGATGAGAAGAGTACTTCAGATCATAACCACTCCTACAGTTATTCACTTGAGGACACACCCCAAACAGACAATGATCTCAACTTTTTGGATAATTTTGAGGATGTTGATAGGATGTTTAGGTAATTGCCCGATTCCTCTTTTTGAGATTATGTATTTATAATTTTCACTGCATCATTTGTTTGCTCATTATTGGATTGTGTCTTCCAGAAGTTGTGATTCGACTTTTGGACTTGGGGCCAGCAGAGAAGATGAATTTGGTTGGTTTTCATGTCCTGAATCAAATGCAATGGAAAATATGTCAGGCAGCCATAACTTATCGAAGTTGATCGTGAGTAATGATTCAGCCTTGGAAACATCCCCAGTTGGGTCCAAAGAGAGTTCTTGGCCCTTAGGTACAAATGAATTTGCTTCTCATCTATCTATTGTGAATGGAACCTCTAGGCCAGACTGCAAAGATGAGTTTATGCCTAAAGATCAGGTTAGTGAGTGTCTTTGTAATTGGTAACAGAAATTTTTTTCTTTTCAAATATTGAAACTCAATGAAATTTTGGATTTCAGCCATTGAATGGTACTTTAAACACTTATGAATCTTGAGAAGGAATTATTCCTGCTAATTATGTGGGCTTATTTTTTAATCCTGATTATGTAAGAGTTATTTATTTAAGTTTCATTAATTTTGGATGCAAATTTCTTCTTTTAATCGAAGTCTGTAGTCTTTAAAATCCGTTGATGCTGTCTCAGTGAATATCGTATCCACTATAATTAAATGATTTTCAAACTGTTTGGTGATGTAACAATTTCAATGTGAAATACTTAGCAGATCCACGAGTACAAATTGCAGTCAAAGCATCAGAACCCCTCTGAGAGAAAAAGAAAAGAACAATACTTTGGAAATGGTAGTTATATTAGTAACCTACCAAGTGAAGTCATTCAATTTCCTTATGGGGATGCATCTAATCAAGCTTTCCCATATATGGACATACAACATCAACAGCAAGGCTCCACATGTGATTCTGTCTCACAAGAAAAGCAAGTCCACTTTTCTGGAGATAAACTTGACGATCGTTGTGATGTTGAAGGAGGCAGGATAGTAACGCCGGCAGAACTATGTTCCTCAAACATACAAGAAAGCCTGTCAATGAGTCCGAATTTGGATGATATTTCACCAGAAGCAGTTAGTTTTTGCCAGCTTCAGCATGTCACAAAACAGGTATAATGCCTTTTCTGGATTTTAAAATGTGTAAGCTTTAAGTTGTGGTACATTATGAATTATTCTAATGGCATAAAACCTTTGACATTCAATTTATCTATTATTTTATATTGCACGGTGTCTTATCATACGGGAGACAAAAACTTCTAGAACTGTGTGCAAGTAACGCCATAATAGTACAGTAAGAGTTGAATCCAATTTTCATGCTGTAGTATTACCAACCAAAATTTTGAGTTTGAAAGAATTGAACAGTTTATACAGTTGCAACTTCAGAATTTTTTTTAGGTTATTTGTTTGTTGACATTGCTTTGTTAGGGATGCAATTTTCCAGGCTATAGAGATACTACAGAATTATCATTTGCATCCATGTAATGCTAAGGTCCTACAGACCGAAGATTGCTTTAAAACTTAATTCTAATGATTATGTTTTGCAAATTCAGTCAAAATCAACACGAGTTGTTCTATTGGAGTTATTAGCTATATTCCTAAGAGAGATCCTATGCAATTGCTAATATGCAGTTTTATTCATGACGTGGCTGCAAAGAGATATTGAGAATTTCCTTGTTTAATTTCCTCATAGTTTGAGTACACCTTTTGGTAATAGAAGTTACATGGTATGGATTGTTAAATATGTAGATCAGGAAAAATTAAATTGAAAAGAAAAACAGAATAAGATAGTTTAGACTACTTACCTAAAGATAATAAACCTCACTGCACATTTATATATTACTTTAATGATATACTTATGGCCTTATTTAGCAGCTTAAACTTTTATAATTTCTATACTAATAGGCATTATTTCGTGTACACATGTTTTTTCCTAGACTACATTGTACACATAAAGTCACAATTTTTCTCGTAATGAAACATAATATCAGAATTTTATTTTATATCATCTTTGTGTTCTTGATATCAAAGCAGGCAGAGGTCGGTCCTAAGTTAAAGTTTTGCCGCCACACATTTATTGAAATTATGTGTGTGGCGGGCTTTGATGGAAAATAAAGAACCTTGCCTACATGTGAAGGGGTATGTTGAATAAAATATTTAAATGATACAAATGTGACATTATCTAACATCTTAAGTATTTAGATGAAGTGGTTCAACGTATCTCTAATCTTTAGTAATTCACTTCATGTTCTCCCTGATCACTCTCATCTGTGGGTAACAGAACTTTTCGAGGGGTTCCAATATTCAGATTATCATTCTAAGGCCCTCTTCCAAAGCAGTTAAATGAGAGAAAGGGGACAGCACGCTAAATTATCCATTGGACTACCCAAACACAAGGTTTTGGTAAAGATACTCATCTTGTATAGGGCTTGCACATACATGTAGGCCCACAGGCAGGGCATAAGCTTGTACGTGTGTGGCCTAGTAGGTAACAAGAACTAGAGTTACATCTCCTTTTTATTTCCATTCAATACTTCTTAGGTCTTCCACTCACCCTTATATGCTGACTGCATATCATTTTTGTATGCTCCATGTCTTCATAAATATTCAACTGCCTTGGCACTGATTGCGGTTAACATTCTTTTTTCAGTTGGACTTGAGGACGAAGCTATGCATAAGGGACGGTTTATATCGTTTAGCAACGAGTGCTGAACAAAGACAAAACCAAGAAAACCTGAACAGCAGCTCTGGAGATGAAAGAGATGCCAGTGGAACATTTATGGCTGAAGGAGCAAACAAGTATGTCTCCATATATTTGCACATATTTAATATTCAAGCATTCTGCATAACCTAAACGTAGGATTGACTTCATTTTGCTGAAAATGATGCTAAAACTAATGCTTGTTGCTCCTGTTTGAACTCCTTGATAATTGTCAATGACCTTTCTTTATAGGTGCGCTGGATTCATGAACGTGGAAACCGATACAAATTCTGTAGATCGCTCAATAGCACACTTACTTTTTACGTGCCCATGATTTGTTCAGTTCAGAAAGTGCGGACACAGAGGAATATATCTCCTATTCTCCTATAAAAATTAAGTCTTATCTTATTTGATGCATGACCTCGTATAAAAGAAATGTACAAGCGGCCTCGAGTATTGATGCCAATTTGGTTTTTTTGTTTTTTTTCATCATACTATATTTGGTGTATAATGTATAGGTTCCTTGTGTGATTTCAAATGTTGTTTGATTGGGCTTTTTTTTTAAATGCAACTTGCAGTCGATATTTCACCATATTCATGTTGTCCGATATACTGATATTTTACGGAAACTTTGTTTTTGTTATTGTTATTTTTTATGGAAACTCGTTTCATGTGACTTTGTTCTTGGCAATTTCTCATTGTTCATGAGATCATAACATTGAAGGATTGATTTCAATTTTGGTCACTGAAAAGATGCCAATTGCGTCATCCAACTTCAATTCATTTTCTAGTGTCAATTAAAATATAATGGCAGCCTATCAAACAAGGGGAAAAATTGGGCAAAACTCGTGGTTCTTGCCCATTTGTTCAACCCCACAAATAGTCCAGACATTGGAGTTATAAATATCAACAGAATTGATCTGAATAGACATTTCCCCTGCTTGTGGAGATTAAGCAATTGTAAGAAAGTCAACGAAATCTATCTCAATCATGTTCCTCCATTGTAAGAACTCTACACGTATGAAACAATAAACATCGGAATTTGGGCAAAATATTACATTTTTGTTTATTGTAAGAATGCAGAAAATTAAGTAATGAAAGGGGGCTCCGTTGGATGGCATGGTAGAGTTATTTTCCCTTCCTCCATAGCACGATGTGCTCTCGTCACCCTGATGGTATGATGTCTTTGTTATTTTCCCTTCTTATGACAATACATATAATTTTTACTTTTCCATCCGTCAAATTAGTTTAGTGTTCAAATTTATATCCAATCTTATCTTACATATATAAAAGAGCGTAAGAAGTGCTACTGTTCATTCAGATAGGTGTCGCAAATATGTGTCGTCCTCTAGAAATTTCCATTTTTTTTTCTCATTTCATCAGATGAAATGATGTCGTTTGATTTTTTAATGGGAACTTCTCGCACTCAACCAGTCACTCCTTTCTTTCCCCATGCAACATTTTCTTGTGCAAGCTCCTCTTTCTTTTTCTTTTTCTTCTTTCTTTTATATTTCTCTATCCCGTGACTCTCGTTGTTGTAATTTTGTCAAAAAATTGAAATTATTGTCAATGTTAATTGGGGTAAATGCATCATTGTATTGTTGAATTTGCAAAAGGAAGGACTTAAATTGCGCAGAAGAGTCATAGGTGAACGAATATTTTTGGAAGAAGGAAGTTTTATGCAACAGATCAAGCGTTCTGCAGTCGGTTTCCTTGTTGCAGTTTTTTAGGTATGTAGATGAAGATTTGTTCATTTCTTGTGTTAGGTTATTATGATATGTGAAAGTTTAGTCTTTCTTTAAACAGTCGGACGAGATAAAATCGTACTCTCCGCCCCCGCCCAAATATTCAACCCGCATTCGCTCACTCATCTCAGACTTCTTTCCGCGCTGTGCGGAGAGCAGTGTCACTCTTCTTCGCGCTGCGTGGAGCAGAGAGTAGTGTCTCCTTGTAGTGCGGAGAAAATCTTTCTCCATGCTGACGGAGAGAGATTTAGGCTTTTTTTTCCTTTTCAAAATGGGTCATCTAGTTTTCCATTCACACATCTTTGGATCAGCTCCTCTCCCTCTCTCCATAACTTAACCAAACCCAAAGAGGAAGAATAAATGAAGACACAGACATGCTCGCCTTCTTTTGACCTCCAGCGGTCTGTGAAATTTTCCCCCTCTTCCACAGAAATTTTCAACAGACGAACCGTTTAAATTTACATCCAAAGAGGTTTTTCCACAACCAAATCAACACGTCAGAAGGCAGACGTCTTCCGACTACAGCTTCCGCATACTTGACCCTAATTACTAGTAACTACCAGCCCAGCCCCACAAAACCCTTGAAGTATTTGTCATTTTTTACTCGTTAATTTTGCATTTTGATGTTAATTCAAATAAATGTTAGGGATTTGAGATTTGTCGAAGAAGAACATTACAAATGGTTCAAAGTTCAAAGTTTACTCTCATTTCTGTCATCTCATTCTTCAACACATAAAACCCGACTCTTCCATAATTCTTCTTATTTGCTGTTTTACGTAATTATTTAGTTTTCGAAGAAGTCAATTTGAACAAAATATAGTTTCATAAACAGATTTTGGATGCGTGTTGTAGAAATTCTCTGCTTTCTGACGAATTGTATCGAGATGGAATTATTGATTTCACCCGTATTGACTTGTCAACAGTTACTAACGAGAAGATGAAAGCAATGATTATTCACTAAGGGCTTCAAAGGTTCAATAATTATACCCTATCTGGTTAATTTATCACTGTGTACCAGATCCAAAGAAGATGGTACAACTTTGTCTTGTACAAAAAGCTGTACCATTTAATGGATATTGACTGTCTTTTGCCCTTGTTTCACTATTTAATCTATTTTGCAATTTTGGCTAAAAGTTGGTAAATTTGATCGAAGGACTTGGAAGTATTTTTTGACTTCTTAAACAATTTTGTGGTTATTTATTGCATGGCTTCAATGATGGTGATTTTTTAGAGCGAAATTTTTTAAGAAGTACTGTTAATTTGTAATTTGATTGAAGTGTTAATGCAGTTCACTTCTCATTTCGGATTATGTCCATGTTTGAGCCTTATTCTTTGGAAAAGATAAAAAATACATTTTTAAACAGTGTTTTGACATCATTTCAACTACATATTTTTCAATAAAGTAAAATCAAAAACTTTTCTTTATTTGTTAATCATATATTTTTCGTCAATACACTATTCAAAAATTCATTCTTATCAAAAGAATGGAGTTCAAACAAGGGCTATATCTTATAGAAAAAAAAAAAAAGGTTGAACCCAACCTTGAGGACCCCCACCGCCCTGCCCCTAGAGCTTTGTGAGGGAGGTAAATCGCGGGATGTGCCCCAACAGGCCAGGGAACAAGAGTTGTTTGTACACTGCGCCTACAAGGAGTCCAATTCCATGTTTCAGGAATCGAACCCCCACCCTGCAGCTGCCAGCAAGGCGTGAGATAATCTCACCCTTGTTCTTTGCACCACTGGATTATGTCCCGAGGGGAACAAGGGCTATATCTTCTTTTGTGCTATGGTTCTCAGAATTAAAGCGATGGAAGCTGACATGTTGGATCTTCCTTTTGAAGATGAATGTTTTTACTTGGTCATAGAGAAAGGAACCACGGTAAAGTTACAGTTAGCGGCGTTATCAATTTGGCAACATTGTAGGATTCTATGCTGAAAGTTTGTAATTAAATTTCATTCGAATGATGGTATAGGTTTGTATGAGCACATATGTTACCAACAGAATTTTGAAATAAATTTTTTATAATTTGGTGGCAGAGGTTAGGGTCCAGTGAAAGTAGATAACAACAATTTTTGTGGATTTGGTGATTCTTTTACAAGTGTTTGCGTTTGAGAGTGAAAGTCAAAAATATTGGAGGTATGTTTTCATTTTAATTTTAATTCCGTCTTTTAAATATCTTTGTCCATAGTCTTCTTCCCTCAAAATTACTTCAATTTTAAATGTAAAAAGAAATATTGTATTGACAGAAGAGGTTGTTTACCTTTTATTAAATAAGAGCGAAAAAGAGTTGCCAGTTAATTTAAACTGCAAGAGCAACAAGAATTGTAGTAATATGATTCTTCAATTTTAAGTGGAGTGTGAGCATATGGATATGACAAGACGATTATCTATCTCTTTTTCAAGTTGCCCGTACGATTTTAGCAAATCGGTCCTAAAATATCGTAGAAATATCGAAACAAACCTTCAATTTCTATATTTTACTGTTGAATGTTGATAATTTTTTGTTTATTTTTGCAAGGTTCTAACAAATTGATCCTAAAAAACAGTCGAAATCTGGTCAGAAATTTGAGTTTGGTGACCTCAGGTATGTTGCTTTCTATTTTTTGTTGTGAATCTTTGAGTTCTTTCTGTATTATTTATTGCAATTTTACTGTTTAATATTGGTATTTTGTGTTGGAAAAATTGGTTTTAATTAGTTGGTTTGACCAATTAATTTAGTGGGTCCTGTTAATCGGAAATAAGATTTCTTTGGCCGAATGTGTTCTACTCCATGAGTAGATTAATATGGTATATTTATTTTCTCAAAACCAATTTAGGGTGAATGAGAAATTAAGGCCAAAATATGCCCACTTGATGTTGAAATAAAATATGTGGGAAATTGAAAAATACCAATCCCACATAGGAAAACTAGAAGAATATAAACCACCTTATATAGCTCAAGTTTGGGACTTGAGTTTCGGCCCCAAGGGGTACCAATAGTTTTTGAGGGGGAGAGAACCTACATGCTAGTAGGTTAAGCCAAAGCCCACACGCGCGCGCCGCTGGGTCGTGGGTTTGGGCCAAGCTGATATATATTTTTTGATAAAATAACATTTAATTATATTATTTAATTATTATTATTATATTTTATGTTATTAATTTTTTTTCTTCCCTGAATTTTCTGTGTGTGACACGTGTTACGGTGCTTCTAGAATTTAGCGGGTTGTGGCGGTTGACTGTCCAAACCGTTTTTATCTTTTGCACACAACTTTTTAACAGTTGTGTCTGTTGGGACACAACCTTTTAACATCTATAAATAGGCCCCCATACCCCAGTTTTTATTCATTCCAAAAATTAGAATTTATTTTCTACTCTCCTGAAATTATCCCTTTGTCCCTGCATAATTTCTGTTTTTATAATTCAGTCCTCGAAAATTACTTTTCGTGCATTTCAGTCATCCAGTGTGTGTGGAGAGATCTAAACTTTACAGGTTCTTCGGGTCTTGTAATTTGGAGTACTACTATTACAAGACGAGGTCGTTGTATCTTGGGAAACGAGTGCTGCAATACTGTTAGTACCAGTGCGGGGCATTATCGTTTTAAGGAGAAAGAGTCGAACTCTTGCCTCGACCATTCAAAACCATCCAAACGTCGTTGCTCTACCCAAATATAAATTACGGTAACACTATTATTTGCTAATATTTTTCAACAATCTTAAAACGATAATGTCAAGTAGTAGTACGTCTGTTGTACCCCTTAGTACGTCTGTCGTACCCCCTAACAATGCTCACGGGGAGAAACCAGAAAAATTCACGGGAGTGGATTTTAAGAGATGGCAACAGAAAATGTTGTTCTATCTCACGACTCTGAATATGGTCAAAATCTTGAAAGAGTATGCTCCAACTGTTGAGGAGAAGGAA